AGACATTATGGTAGATAGATTGTATTATATCGCTTTAATGAAGAACAATATCATAGACAGTCGGAAGTGTAAATGTTAAGCCATACCATAAAATATTTTGTGGTCAGTTAAATAATTAGTGTTTTCACTACTTGATAGGAGAGACTTTCTAAGATGCTGTTGAATAAGAGGTAATAAAAGAAACAGGATGTAACAAGATGATGTATTGGGTGAAACCAAATTAGTCGATTTTCACACTTTCCACCAAATACATTTAGAATAATAAATGAACAAGACAGCAAACATTAAAATTGGTTTTAAAAAAGTCCAATTCTTAATTTTGAAAGCATGTGTACCTCTGGACAAGGGTGAAGCACTGGTGCACAGCCTGAAGGTACAGAACACACATCAATTTCATGTTTAGGCTTGTGCCCATTCCCAAGGTAACTCATTATGCATGTGCAGATATTCCAAAATCAGAAAAAAATCCCAAACCTGCAACACTTTTGGTTTCACATATTTAGGATAAGGGTTACTCAGCTTCTAACATTTCCCCAACTAAATTAAAACACAACATCATCAACTATTAAATTTCTAGACATATGGAGACTTCTGATTCATTCAACAAATAATAAGTATCTGGCAAGTTTCCAACATTCTAGAAAAATACTGTATTATATTTTTTATCAGTCGCTGTCAATTTAATTACTAACTTGTAATTTATTGATGTTTTCTATCTTGTTTCAGTTAATATTATTGTTCTGTCAAATTTTGTTTACTATCATTTTAAAAAAATAAAATTAATTTTTAATTGAAAAAATTATGTGTGTTTAGGGGTTACAACATGACATCTTGATCTATGTATACATTATTCAAAGACTCAATCTAGTTAATAATTCTATTACCTCACCAGTGTATCATTTTATGTGGTGAGAACATGAAATGTCTATTTTATTTTATTAAGTATTATTATGAACATGTATTAATTGTATAATTTAATGGGATTCACTGTGATATTTCCACTCATGCACACATTGTACATTGATCATGTCCATCCATTCTTCTACCCTCTCCCACCCTCCCCCAGCCCTCTTCCCAAGTGCCTGGAAATTCCTCTTCTACTTATAGGTCATCTTCATTTTTCTAGTTTCCACATATGAAAGGGCAGATGCATTACCTGTCTTTCTGTTTCTGACAATTCTCCAATTCTATTCATTCTGCTGCAAATGGCAGGATTTCCTGCATGTCTCAAAAATACTTCCTAGTGTTGATATACCGTATTCTCTTTATCCACTCATCTGTTGGTGGGCACTGAGACTGACCTCATGTTACAAGCTTATTTCAGGAATTTTAAAATATGAAACAAATTGTTATAAACTGTGGTCACCCTGCAGGGCAGTATGTCACTAAAACTTATTCCTCCAGTCTGATTGAAACTTTGTGCTTTTCCATCTCTCTCACAATACCTTCCTACCCTCTGGTAAGCAAGAGTTCATCATGACTCTGTTCCTGTTATGGTTTGATTTTGAAATGTTCCCCAAAAGTTCCAGTATTAATGTTCAGAGGTGAAATGATTAGAGTGGGATCTGTAACCTATTCAATGGATTGATCCATTTTGTGGATTAATAATTTTAAAGAATTTCTCTCTGGGTGGCAACTGCAGGCAGGTGTGGCAGGGCTGGAGGAAGTGTGTGCCCAGGGGTGTGCCCTTGGGGATTAGGCATTGTGCCCCTGGATCCTCCCACCCTCTCTCTACTTCCTGGTTACCATGAGGTGAGCAGCTTCCTCCACCATTACTTCTGCTATGATGTTCTATGTCACCTTGGGCCTAGAATAATGGAGTTGAATGACAGTGGACTGAACCTCAGAAACCATGGTGCTAAATGAACTTTCTTCTCCTCTAAGGTGTTCTTGTCTCTTATTTTGGTCACAGCAGAGAAAAGCTGACTAATATAGAAACTGTTATGAAGAAGTTGGGTCATTACTGTGACTAATCTTACCACATGGTTCAGAAGACATTGGAAATTATTTGCAGGAGAAATTTGAACAAGTTTGGAAATACAAATAGAGAAGTCTTAGAATGTTATAAGTGGAGCTTAAAGAGTGATCTGGTGGGAGCTCAGGGACCAGAATGCAGATAAGAATACAGATAGTAAGAACGGTGCTCCAGAGGTTTCAAAGGGGAATGAGGACTCTATTGGCAATTGGACTAGAAGCCACTTATGTTACATTCTGGAAAAGAATTTGTCAACATTTTCCCCATGTTCAGAGACTTTGTGGGAGGCTAAATTTAAAAGTTATGGACTAAATAATCTGGCAGAGAAAATTTTAAGGCAGCACAGCATTCAGGTAATGGCAGGGGTATTGTTGGCCACCTTTAGCCACATTTACTGTGAGATTCAGAAGTAAAAATCAGAGAGGCAAGAACTGGAAAACTTTCAGTTTAGCCAGAAATGTGTGTGTGTGATGTTGGGGACAAGGAAGATGTGGTTGTTGAAGAGGTTACTGAGACTAAAGTGAAGCTAAGTATTTTGCACAGAGACAATAGGAAAAATACCTTGAAAGCATCTCAGAAAGACCCCACTCACTTCAGGATCAAGGGTATAACAGTGAAAATTCTAGTGAAAAATCAAAACTATATCAACATTGCATCTCATTCCAGTGAGAATGGCAATTATCAAGAATTCAAGCAACAATAAATGTTGGTGAGGATGTGGGGGAAATGATACATGCATATCTGGTGTAAAAAAGACACTATAAAATGTGTAGCTCAAAAATCACTGTTGCAAGGTTGCCAGCATTCCTTGTCTGGATCATTCTCATTAACAAGAAAACTAACCCATAGAGCAATGGCACAATATGGCCATAAGTGGGTTTGAGACATAAGAGTATGACATTGTGATACAACATTGTGGCTGGGCCTCAGAATCACAATGCAGAGACTCAGATGATTAGGCTCAGGAGGCCAGGAGGGCTCAGGATGCCTCTGCCTCCCCATACCTTTCCATCTCCTCACATGGCATTGGAAGTAACTCTCTGGTTTCAGGATGGGTGGATGTGCAGCAATAGCCCTGGGAGGATATATAGCATAGAACACATGTCAGTTATAATATTCTACTGCTTCTTATTTTTAGCATTTCTTCGGATGTTTAAAAACAGTATTCATAATTGCTCCAATTTCCAAATTCACTTTGGGGAATTGTAAAAAGCGGCTAGACTGAAGTTCCTTTCATGGCAACCAGAGGAGGTGGAAAGGATGTGGAGATGAGTGGAGGAGGACCTAGGATCCTGAATCATGGGACCAGGCAGGAATCGAGCACAACTGCAAGTCATTCTGTGATTGGGAAGATGGAAGTCCAAGCATAAGAAAGACCTATGATTGGTGATATTGACACTGTCCATTCATTGCTCCTTTAATAGCTGTGACAAAATTTGGAAAAGAAGAGTATTTAATTTAGCACAATGGGAGAAGTCATATTTGTGGGCAACACTGGAAGTTTTCAAGCAGAAACACTATGCTTGAAATAATTCAATATTTAAACATGAAATATGTCCCCGGTCCTTAACTCCAATGAATAACCACCTTCCTCATGAATACCAAACGTGCATACATTAAATGAGTTAATATACAGCATGAAACAAAATATTTTACATGATAATACCATGCATGATTTGAAGTTCACTTCATCATCTTTCAGGTTATCTCCAACTGGAAATACACAGGCAGCTTTCGGATTTTGAACTGGCGAATATTCTAGATGTGTAGAAAAGCATGACACACACTGGGATCTCAGTCACACCACTTGGGATGCTGTGTGTGTAGGTGCAAGACCTAGAAGCCGCCAACCTGCTTGTGATTGGGTGACTTTGTTCTTTGCTTTTTGGGTTTTGCTGTTTCTTGTATTCCACACACTAAACTTTAAAATTAAAGACTATTTTAAAGACCTGAAAAAAATTTCTCTTTTGACATAGACTCCAGGTGTAGATGTATCTTTGATAATTACTTTTTATGAGTGATGATAGCACTGTGGAAAATAAGCTGATAAAGGAACACATGCCCCATGAGAATAAAACCTGAGACATTTATAAAGTGTGCTGGGATACTAAAGTCTGTGTATCTGATAGAGTAGAAAACTAGAGAAATTCAAAAGAAAGTTCACCACATTTACTGCAGGATTGCCTAGACATCCTAAGTTACCCAAAGCAGTATTCTCCATAGAAGTAATAAAACTCATATCTAAAATTACAACAACCACCAAAGAATTACTTGGTATGATATATATGTCATTGGTGAAAATATTATTTTTAGAAATATGGGTTGATCTGTTTTAGTCAGTTTTTTTCAGTGACCAAAAGACCTCACAAGAAAAATTTTAGAGGAGGAAAAGTTCATTTGGTGCTCACTGTTTCAGAGATTTCATCCTATAGACAGCTGACTCCATTCCTCAAGTCCCATTATGGCAGAAGGGTGTGTCAGAGGAAAGCAGCTCAGGACATTGGCACCAGGAAGGAGAGAGAGAGAGAGAGAGAGAGAGAGAGAGAGAGACTGCAGACATGGGAAAAAATATATATACATCAAAGAGACACTCCCGTGGACCCGCCTACTCCAGCCATACCCTACAGCTATCATCCATTAACCCATTCAGGTGAGTTAATGCACTGACTAGGTAAAGAATCTTATAGCCCAATTATTTGACTTCTAAACTTCCTTGCATGGTCTCACACCTGAGCTTTTGGGAGACACCTACTACCTAAACCATAACTACCTTTGCATAAAATGAAATTTCCAAATACATATGATTCCAAGTATGAAAACTTGAGAAGAAGAAAAATGATGAGAAAAATATGTGGAATTATCAGTGAGAGCCCAAAGCTTGATGAAGAATATTTCTTAAATTGTATACAGAAGTTGCAGTCAAAGAAATAACAATTTAAAGAAATAAACAAAAGGAGCAAGTTCAACTCCAACAATCTGATCAAAGTAGTCACAGTTCCTGGGTCTGAGTCTTTGAGTTCTGAAATCATGGGAATTGATTCAATGACCCTTTTATAGTTTCCCTCCAAAAGATGATTTTTAGAGCGCTCTTGATGTCCTTATTCCTCAGGCTGTAGATGTAGGGGTTCAGCATGGGGGTGACCACACTGTACATCACTGAAGCTATAGTACTTGAGTGTGAGTTTTGTGTCACAGAAGAACTGAGGTACACATCTAGGCTTGTGCAGTAAAATAAGGAGACCACAGAGAGGTGAGATGCACAGGTGGAGAAGGCTTTGTACTTGCCCTGAGCTGATGAGATTTCACGGATGGAGGAGACGATCTTGGAATAGGAGTAAAGGATGCCAGTAAGGGGACCAACAGCCAGCAGCACAGCTGAAAAATACATCACCATGTCATTAAGAAAAGTGTCAGAGCAAGCATGGTTGACCACCTGGTTAAGTTCACAGAAAAAGTGAGAGATGTCCAGGTCTGTGCAGAAGGTCAGCTGCAGCATCATCAAGCTGTGTAACAAGGAATGCAGGCCACTAATGATACAGGATACCAGAACCATCAGCACGCAGAACCTGGGGTTCATGATGACTGTGTAGTGCAGGGGGTGACAGATGGCCACATACCGGTCATAGGCCATTATGGTCAGCAGAATGATGTCCAACCCTGCAAAGAGTAGGAAAAAATACATTTGGGTGATGCAACCCATGTAGGTAATGGCCTTGCTCTGTATCTGGATGTTCATCAGCATCTTGGGGATGGTGGTGGAGGTGAAGCAGATGTCCACAAAGGACAGGTTGGAGAGGAAGAAGTACATGGGCATGTGCAGGTGGGAGTCTGAGATGGTGGCCAGGATAATGAACAGGTTCCCCAGCACAGTGACCAGGTACATGGACAGGAAAAGCCCAAAGATGAGGGGCAACAGATTTGGGTCCTCTGAAAATCCCAGAAGAAGGAATTCTGAAATTTGTGTGTCATTCCTCGGTTCCATGTGGTTGATGTGACTATCACAGGGACATGGGAAAAGAGAGAGTGATAGAGATAGAGATAGAGATAAAGAGAGAGAGAGAGAGAGAGAGAGAGAGAGAGAGAGAGAGAGAGAGAGGCATTACTAATCTTTTTAGAATTTCTATCATTTCTATTTCACTGTTCAGAAATTACCTTTATATTTCATTTATGAATCTGATCACCTTTAATGCATCACCCTGTATCTCTGATTAGAAATTCCTTTCCAATTCTCCACCTTTCTTCAAGGAGTCATGTATTCTAAAATTGTATGAAGAAATTCTTTAAAGAATGATGAAATCATGCCATTTGTTAGCCAATGGGTGTTATTGGAGAGCATGACGCTAAGTGAAATAGGCAGGCTCAGATGTCCAGGGCCAGATGTTGTCTCTCATATGAAAGCTAGAGAGAGAGAGGAATGTTTTAAAAGGGGGCAAACCCAGGAAAATAGAGGGTAGAGCAATGGCAAAAAGGAAGGGCATCAGAGCAGGGAGAGGAAGGATCAATAAAAGGAGGAACTGCTGAAAATTTTTGACCCAAATATGCTATGAGTATGTGTCAATATGTCACAATGATTTCCACTTTCATACATAACTATAATACAATAATTAAAAAAAAAACAATAAAAGAAAAATCAACAGAGGATGAGGGGAAGGAAGGATGGGAGGGAGGAGGTAGTACCAGGGATTATGATGGAGCAATTTATGTTATAGGCATCCATAACTATGTCCATATGAACCCGACAAGTAAGTAAAGGTCTCTACAAAATTCTGCACACCTCAAGACAGTCATGTCCTTTCACATTGAATAACACTCTGCATAACACGTCCCTGGGGACATTGTGTCACGACCAAATTTATTTGATTATGATCTGTTTGACATTATATTGCAGGTTACAAATGAGCAGTAGATTTCACGTTATTTATTCAGCATTGTATTCTCAGAGAAGTATATGAACCAGTATGCATTGTGTAAAAACATATTTAAAGGAAAGGAAAGTATTAAAACAAAAAGAATGGCACGGAACAGAACCAGGTTAAATAGAACGGTTTAAAAAAACTCTATTAAACAAAAATTGAATGAAGTATTGACCATGAACTGAAACAGATATAACATAGGAATTCTTTAATGATATCAATGTGGACTCCTAATTAAAATGGTAAGTATTTAGAAATAAAATAAAATAATGTTACTAGAATGTTCTAGAACATACAAATGTTATTATTTGTTGAGTGAGTCAGAACTTATGTCTCAGTATACTTGAAAAGATTGTATTTCACTTGAGCTGGAAAAGGTTCAGTAGTCCCATAAAAGCTGACATAAATGACTGCCTACACAGAGGAGAATGAGGGTCGTCCCAATGTCATGCCTTCGTTTTAAAAAATCAGAGAAAGATTGAGTAAGAAAATAAATAATATGTTTTCTTGGAACAACAAGAAACCATCATTAAAAGCTCATAGATGGGCAAAATCAATTTGAATAGGCAAGAAACTCAGACATGAAAAAATATATTGAAATGCAATTTAAAACATTTTGTGGACAAAAAGTATTCTTCAAAAATGAATTGAATAAAATAACCTATAAAAATACCTGAAATGCTGATAAATGCTGAAAAGCAGGCACAGATTGATAACAGAAAAATTGAAATGGTGATTTGGATTAAGAATATTTGTTCAAACTTACTAGTAATTGAAGGAAGTAGTAGTAGTAAACCTTTTTCAAACCTATCTATGTGGGGAAATTTTAACCTGTCACATTATGGGGTCCAAGCTTTACACAGGAGCAGAAATGGAAGTGTTACATTAATTTGGGACAATATCTACAGACGACTATAAGTATGAAAAATTCAGATAATTTTCAACTCAAATTTTCTAAGTTAAGGGAATATGGACATTCTGGGTGAGATCATCAACGGTGGTCATGTATGTCCTGTGCCCTGTAGGATGTTTAACAGAACATTCTGGTCCACTCACCCTTCTCAGTGTCAGTCAAAATCATCTCCAGCTAGTTCTCAATGTCCCCTGGGGGGTGACGTATTTCTTATTGAGAGCCACAGTTTTAAATAAACAATCTCCAAATATCTTTGTATAAATCAAGATAGATCATTGTTGAGAGCTACAGCCGAAGGGGCCCCAGCAAACTTCCAGCTGCCAGCAAACTTCCAGCTGCCGGCTGATGATTGGCTCACAGTGGCCCCAGCAACATCTAGCTGATTGGCTCCTCGGCCCCAGCAACATCTAGCTGATTGGCTCCTCTGCGGTGATGCTCATTGGACTGTTTCCCTGCCCTTTCAGACCACGGAGCTGCTCATTGGGGGACTTTTTTGGCTCTGCCCACGTGACCCAGCCAATCGGCCTCAAGAGCAGGAGGATTGTGGGAGGTGGGGAGAAGCTTGTGTGGGAGAGAGAGGCTTGTGGAAAGCCAGTGGTGGCAGTTGAGGCTCTGAGGGTTTTTCCTGAGAGGCTGTTTTGTTTGGCGTGTGTGGTTCTAAAAATAAAGTTAGTTTCTTTTGACAAGTGGCTCCTGATTGTGCCCAGCCAGACTGCGGCAGATCATATCAATTTAATGAGGAAAAATACCAAAGGTCATCGAAAGAATAAATGTTGCAGTATACCATGACATTGTACACAGTCTATTAAATAAGTTGCATTGCACTTGATGGAAGAAACTTCCTTAAGGTACCACTGAACAAGGCAGCAAGGCAGATGCACAATAGAGAAGCAGGCTGCCCTAAACACAAGCAGGGTGCATGATGTGTGTAGAGGGCTGATTATTCATTGGTAGGAAAAGTGCAGGAGTTGAGCGAGTGCGTGACAACAAAGAATCTGTAAACTTTCACACATTCCCTCCAAGTACAATTTTGCTACATTGTGGAACAAAGGGGCAAACCCTAAGTTGGTGAAAACTCCTATCCTTAAGTTTGAATGAGTGCAATTAAAAAAAAAAAAAACAGGAATGAAACCTTTTTGTACCTTCCACACCAAACAAAGTGTTCCCACAGAAATTTTCAAATACAGAAAAAAAAAAAAACTAACAAACTCAAGATATATTTAACATAATGCTTTGGGAAATACTTGCAATCAAAACTAGTGAGTGTGGTCCCTTTCTCCTACAAAATAACTTTTTAAATGTGAACATGAAAGAAGATACTGCAATATGATTGACACATGACTGTTGTTGCCAGGTAAGAGTCGCAAGTCATCCCTTGGTCTAATCTTATCAGTATACTCATATATGAAGGTATACTCATATATGCTCCATCTTAGAAATAAAATCGAAATGCCGTCATTTAAATGTTTCCATCCGTAGCAAAGGCCCCATTTCTCTATCCCCCTTAATTGCGAAGACCCTTGGGAAAAAAAAAAGTATCTACTTTTATTGAAATGACAGTACCCCTCCCATGCCCTCTTCAAATTGTGCTTTGATTACTTTCATTGCCAGTGATGACCCTGCAATACTGAGTTCAACTGACACTTCCCTATTAGCATCATAAATATATACATTAATTAACTCAATAAATCAAGTGGGCAAACAGCCCTGACGACTGCCCTGTCTCGGTTCAGGGTGAGTCAGGTTTGGCTCAGAGGACCTCAGATGAGCACCCTCGGCATCCATTCTCTGAACCTCTCCTGCCAGACTGGCTGCATCTCGTACTGACCCAGATGAACACTCTGAGCAGAAGGGCTCTGTGTGGAAATCTGGATTCCTCTCTGAACAGTTGCAGATGAAGATTGGAGACCCAGACAAGACAGGAGGAATGAGTCAAGCATTGGTCTTGGAGCCAGACTTTAGACCTCAGAAAGAACAATCACATCCTGCCCTGCCCAAGGTCAAGTATTCTGAGAGAGCGCAGCAGAGGAGATATACACAGCTCCTGAGACTTCATTAGACCTTTCTCTTGCAACTCCAACCCTGGGGCACCTCATTCCTCTGTGGGACTTGATTCTACACAAAAAAAGATTTCTCTCCCCTGCAGATTCTCTGTTCCCAAGAGACCAGGTGAAAATCCAGGGGAATCCATTATTTTTTACTTCTTCTCCATTAACTTTTCTGCCTTCCAGAGCTCTAACCTCCTAACACCTCAATCCCAGCCCTGATTTAAAGTTTTCTTCCAAGCCTGACGCTGAGGAACTTGCTTTAATGAGGCCTCTTGGGTCCCCAGAGCCCTGTATATGTTGGGGACACAGTCCTGATAATGCCAGGAAATTGCTATTTGCTCTTCAAAAAAAAAAGAGTTAACTATGACTCTTTGATTTTAATACTACCCCTACACATTCCTTCGTTTCATGACACTTCCCCCCAAACATTTAGAAAATGCATACTTACAATACATACTTACAATGTAAAGAACCATTATTTACTCCTTGATTTAGAAAATATTTAGCAATTTTAAGTAATACATTCAGAACTTTTTATGCATGTTGCCCTGAGATTATTACCTTACATATATTCTCATTTGTTTTTCACATTTTGTGAAAACCTCCACACACATGCACCTGTTGTCTGAGCTACTTAAGAAGCTGAAGCTGGAGGATCCACTTGAGCCCAGGATTCAGGACCAGCCTGGGCAAAATGACAAGTGCCATCTCTTAAAACAAAAATGGAAATCAAAGGATTAAAGCCCATTCTGAGTGATCAATACTGTGATGACCTCATTCTTCATTTTGCAGATGTGGATCTCAGAAGGATAATTAATCAAATAAAGTTATACACAAGGTAAACTGCAATGGCTTTCCTTGGAACCCCATCAAGATGTTGCTTATTCTATGCAGGTGACCTCACCCAGGGACAATTTTGTTTCTAATGGACACTAGGAAATAACTGGAGAATTCTGTTTATCCCAAGTGGGTGGTGCTTCTAATGGATTAAGGCCAGGGGTATTGCTGCACCAGCCCTCAGCACAGAGTTATCTACAGAAACATCAGCAGTATGACATTGTGAAACCCTGCTCTAAACCAGAACATCTTCAGCCTCAATGGAGTCTAT